TCTGACTCTAGCTCCTCACACATTTCATTGTAGTATTTTGCTTTGTCATTCCGAGCTGCCTTTTGGAATCTTCTTTTCAGCCTAATTACCTTGGGAAAATCTGCTAAACATTTAAAAAACTTATTACCAACAGCAGCACAACAAAATAAGAAATAATATGCAAAGTGTTTATCTATTGGATTGACTGAACACTGCCACCCCCCTTCAAAATTGGGGAAAAAACTTGAGCTTGCCTGAAGTGTAATGCAGTTTGTATTAGCAATGGTTCAGATGAGAACCATGTGGGACTTCCAGTTGTCTACAAAAATTACAATCTTAGTCCTCAATACCTAAATAACAAGATCTTGCTATATTCCAGGGACTCTCCTAGAATCTCCATAAAGATAGCTGTTCTAGGCGAGCTCTAGTGGCCTAGTGGCAAGAAGCTGCACTGCAATCCCAGAGGCGCACAGTTTGAATCCACCAGATGCTCTGCCAGAGAAGGAGGAACAATCTCCTCCAGTACCAGTCAGATCCAATTTGACGGTACACACACAAAAATAATAATAAAATAAATATTTTTTAAAAAAGATAGCTGTTCTGTAATCATGAGTTATAAATGTAGCAGTTCTACACAAATGGAAGCACTCTTGAAAGGTTGTGTTCCCTTCTAAATGTAAGTTTCAAGAGGGTCATTGACAAACCAATGGTGTAGCTGAAGACAATTGCCTAGAGATGAGGAAAGAGAGGCCCAGTACATGCCTTCAGATACTTGAAAGGCTCCTCAGTGGAAGAAAGGAGGAAAATGTTCTCTGTTCCTGCTCAGGAAATAGGGAGTTAGGAAAGCATTTGTTGTATGCTAATTTAAGCCAAAGGAGCCCTAATGGCCTAGTAGTTTATGTGCAGACCAACCAAATAATGGATGGTTCAAACCCACCAGCAGCTCTGCCAGAGAATGGCGTGGCATTCTGCTCCTTTAAGAGTTAGAGCCTCAGAAATCTGATAGAGTGTGACTCAGAGTTGGCTAGATAGCAGTAGGGTTTGATTTTTCTTTTGTTGTTGGCTTACTAAACAAATGCCAAGTGTCAAGACACTTTAAGCATTGACACAACAAGGACTCTATTAACATACTCATTTTGCAAATGAGAAAGCAGGTTTAGAGTAACCTGCCCAGGGTTCTGTTCTGGCCATCTAACTTGGCATAAGAAAGTTCTAATAATAGGCCATCCAGCATATGACTGCTACCTTTCAGTAACTTGCAAGGAAATTTACTCAAATCTTCTTGTCTCTTCTGTGGCATCTAAAAATGCCACATCTGATACTCTGTCTTCCCTAGGAGGAAATGAAAGTTTACATATAAAGGCAGACTGTTTATCCTTGAACTTTCTGTCTCTTCATTTAGGCTCCACCCTTAAAGACACTTCCTCTGACAAATGGCCATCCCTTCCTGTTGCTACTTACTACCTATCACCACCAGGTGGCACCTGGGAACAAGACTGTCAACTGGCTGGGACCCACCCTGTTTACTTGTTAAAGTGCCTGCATTGCAGCTGCTAATCCTATGGCCCCTGGGACTAGGCCTTCCTGGGGAGTGAATTTTTATCCTACACAGTCTTCAGTAGAAGGGCCTGATAATCAAAATGGAGTAGGGAGGAGAGGCCTTTGGAAAGGAACTACCATAACTTCCATTCCCATCTTTCCTAGAGGTTTTCTCTAAGAAGTTTATTTTTACCATTAATATAGTTCTGCTTCATCAGTTAGCAAATAAATCATATCTTTTTTAAACTCTTTGGGCCTTTTTTTCTTTTTTAATTTAACTTTTATTATTATTATTAATTTTAATGAAAATTTACAGAGACTTTGGATTTCCATTCATTCCTTTGGGCCTTTTTCTGTCTGCTAACTTCTGGAAATTTGGAAGGCACATAGAAAATTGTTCCTTACACAGCTTTGCAAACTGACTCTGACCGTCTAGCTACAGCCAGCACAGGGTGGTAAAGAAACAGAAGTGAGAAATGGGGAGGGACAGTTCTAAAATGATTTGATAAAACATGGCTTGATGAAATCTATACCCTGCAGAGTGAGAAAAAAGTTTTATCAACTGCAGATCTAGTTTCTCACCAACAATCAACCCTAACTTCCTTACAGCATCAGACAGAGTAACACAATACACCCCACATAAGCTGCACTAAATAAGTCATCTTCAACTTTTGCTTCCAGTTAGTCTAGTTTTTAAGTACCCAGACAAGTATCCCATCAACATACTGTACTTTTTCTTTCCGGAACCAATACAAGGTAGAGCTGGATTCTACACCTGACAGTATTCCAAATCTTCCAAGCCAAGCTAATGATTGAATCATCTCAATCTCTTCATTTTAGTGTTCTAACAGTTTCCTCAGGGTCAGAAAATTCTTGGAAAACGTAATAATTTTTGCTGCTGTTGAGCCTTGCATCTATGAAGATGACTTTTTTTTCTTTAAAGACAATATATTTTGTCCTCAGTAGAGATAGAGATGGTTAACTAACTCTTCAAAGATTTCTAGAAAGAAAGAAATCACTTTCTATTCACCATTCTGCTGCTCATCATACAAGGGGTGGGGGAAGGCGGGATCATCCAAATTCTTTCATTGTCTGGTGATCCAGTTTGTTTCTAGTGTCTGTCATTACCTACTGGAACAAGGAAAAGGGCTGCGGACAGCAGAGATGAGGTGGGCCACATCATTACAAATCCCTTTCATAAGTACAAAACTAAAAAAAAAAAAAATCCCACAACAAAACAAAAAAACAACCCAGAACAGAACTCCACTGCCTAACAGTCAATTCTGAACCACAGCAACCCTTTATCACGTTTCCAAGGTTGTAAATCTTTATGAGGAGACTGCTCCTCTTTCTCCCAACAAGCAGCTGGCGTTTTAATTAGCAATGCATCTGGGGTGCACTGTGCCACCAGAGCCCTTTCTTTGAAACGATGGCCAGAAGAGTGGAAACCTTTAAGAATAACGAATCTTCTTTGAGTATGAAAATCAGGAAAAATTGACAAATGAACATACAAATATCTCAGAGGGAAAAACGGACCCTAAACAACTTCGCAACTCCTGTTCCCTCTAAAACAGTAATTGGCCGTCTGGCTCTGCATGACGTCATACCACAGACACTCCAATCCCACGTGGGAGCAGCTACTGGTCCCGCCTCTTCTCTTGAAAAACTGTAACACGCCTTCTCCACTTTCTTACCAATCAAATGCTGTTCTTTAGGCCCTTTCCTCCTTTTCCTGCCATCTCGACCGCCCATCTTGCCATTCCAGTCCAATCAAGGAGACGCTACTCCTATGAAGCCCTTTTCTTTCTTCAAGCAAGGGAGGGCGGAGTTCGACTCTGACTCCACCTGGTTTACTCTCCGCTGACCAACCCGAACCTCTAAAGAGTAGGGGGCGTGGCCTGAAGTCCCTTCCCCCATCCTGCTAGGGACTACGGTTTTAAGCCGGGGGAGCTGGCGGCAGAACTAGGCAACCTCCCGCGGGTTTCTGGATCGGGTGGGTCCTCCTTGTCCTGTCACCATGGAGCGTCCTCCGGCAGAAGGCTCCAGCCCCAGTCCCAATGACCAGCACTCTGCTCCTTCTGACCCCCCAGACCAGCCCACTACTGCTCACACAAAGCCAGACCCGGGTTCTGAGGGTCAACCTGCTGGACCTGGAGCAGCAGGCGAGGCCCTGGCAGTATTGACTTCGTTCGGACGGAGGTTGCTGGTGCTGGTGCCAGTCTACCTGGCCGGGGCAATGGGACTCAGCGTGGGTTTCGTGCTTTTTGGCCTCGCCCTCTACCTGGGCTGGCGCCGTGTCCGCGATAAGAAAGAACGAAGCCTCCTGGCCGCACGGCAACTGCTGGATGATGAGGAGCGGCTCACAGCAAAAACACTCTATATGAGCCATCGGGAGCTACCTGCCTGGGTGAGCCACTACCCCCAGGCTTCAGGATAGCCCCCTTCCAGTCTCTCTGTTTGGGGGCTCTCCTTCCCTGCCCTAAAGTTTGTCCCCATTGCTGCCTGCCTTGCCTGCTGGGACGCACCCCTCTTGGGATCAACAGCTCACTCTCACAGCCTCTATCCCTCCTTTTGTGCACTCCCAGATCCCGAGCCTTCCACAGAATCAGGACTTCTTCCCTACTCTACTCTTAGGCAAGATCAGTAATAACATCTGGGCACCAATCTCAACCGAATCACTCCCTCCTAACCAAGCAAGCCGTCCTGGCTCCCAGTCTTGCTTTCTGGCGCGCTTGTGCTGCTGCTTCTGGGCATTCTTGCCCCTGCTGCCGCTCAAAGGATTTCCTCTCCTCTTCTATCCTCCTCAAGACTTTTTACTTACTTAAGGCCATAGGTTCTTAATTTTCCCGCTCTCTGTCTGGGTGGGCCCCAGCTCGCGGAGCACTGTCCTGCTGAGCCCAGCACCTTACAGATCCTGTGCCTCCCCGCCTTGCACCCTCACAACTGGGCTGCAACGCAGCAGAGGCGACTGCTGGACAAAGGGCGGGGGTGCGCGAGGAGGGGAGTGCGGCTGCTGCAGTGCTCGCTGCCCACACTCCACCCGCATCAGCCACACCCTTCTCTTACAGTGGCTGGGGCAAAGACCCTTATTTCTGCGCCTCCTTGCGCTCTGTGAGGGGCCGGAAGCTTCTCGGGAGACTGAGCTGGTTACCGTTACCGGCCCCGCCCTGCCCCTCCCTTCAGGGTCCTCCCAGCAAAGGTACCAGTTTAGGGGGAGAGTAACAGGAAGGAGGAGAGAGATACTAAGCATGAGGCAGGCACAGCCATGCTCCCCAGACCCAGGACTGGGCAGGAAAAGGGGGAGAACTGGACTCAGGGGACTTGTGATCCAGGCAGCAGCTCTCTGTTCTTCCACATCATCCTAGAAACTGCTTGTCCATCTCTTCAATTAGTATTGTGCTTAGTGGCACAAGTGTACTCCTTTCCCATAAAAGGAGTCACGCTCATAGAAAGAAAGGAAGAGAAGGGGGTAAAAATAAAACATACCCACCACCAGGGCCTGAATAGGCCTTCTGGTCTATGATTCCTCTCCAACTCAAGACCTGCTTCCCTCATCACCTTCTTGTTATAGAGGTTCTATTCTGTGGACAGGAGGGAAGGCTGCAAAAGGGAACTGGATCTTCGCCAATTCTAGGATTCTGTCTTCAAATCTGATTTGACAGTACCTCCTCCCCAGAAAAAAAAAATATGCCCTTGTCCTCCTCTCTCTGCCCCAGCAGCTGTCATACCATAACCCTGAACTATGCATAAACTAACTTTGTGTAGTCGTTGGCACCCAGTCAGCTTCCCTTATTAAAGAGGCCTCAGGCCAAGGATTGAAATGAAAGCTGGGACATCCCAGCACTCTCCAGGTCCCTGAGTACGAGGAGGAGGCCCTGTGGTAGTGAGGTGTTTCTTCCTCTCTGTGGCAGCACCTGGTATCTCAGTGGAAAACCACTGGCAGAGGTATGCTCATCATTGTCTCTGCTTCCTCAGGTCAGCTTCCCAGATGTGGAAAAAGCTGAGTGGTTAAATAAGGTGAGAAGTTTGAGTATCCTGATTTTTTCATGAGGGGAGATGGGAGCAAGCTCCTTGTCAAACACTCCAGTTCTAGTTTGGTTCCCACTGTTCACTGTGGGAAGGATTCTGAAGGGACTTCCTGTCTTAGGGAATTCTTTGACCATCTTTTCTTCTCAGATTGTGGCCCAGGTTTGGCCCTTCCTAGGCCAATATATGGAAAAGCTTCTGGCAGAAACTGTGGCCCCAGCTGTTAGGGGATCTAATCCCCATTTGCAAACATTCACATTTACAAGAGTGGAACTTGGTGAGAAGGTACGTGTGTGGGAGAAAGGAAAGAAATAAGAGAGTGGGACAGAGGGTGAATGGCCCCTCTGGGTGTTCCTCTCTTCCCTTTCCCTCCTCTCAATACATCATCTCTCTCCAGCCACTTCGTATCCTGGGAGTCAAGGTTCACCCAGGTCAGACCAAAGAACAGATCCTACTGGACTTGAATATCAGGTAACCCTTACCACTCTTCCCATTTCCCTTCCTCCAGCAGAGTTCTGGTGCCTCTTGGCTCCTTCATTCTCCCTCCCTCCACAGCAGCTTGGTACTAATCCTCCTTTCTCTTCCTTATTAATCCTCAGCTATGTAGGTGATGTGCAGATTGATGTGGAAGTAAAGAAATATTTCTGCAAAGCAGGAGTCAAGGGCATGCAGGTGGGGCAGATGTCAGTGACCCTTCATGATAAAGAGACTTTACCCTAAGTGTCATGGGATATAAGGGAATGGGAGGTTGGAGACACAGTGGTTGGAAAAGTGGGAGTGGCAGGAGGCCTTTTCTGGGGAAAGACGTTGGTCTTCTCTTTTTGTTCTAGTTACATGGTGTTTTACGGGTGATCCTTGAGCCCCTTATTGGGGATCTTCCTATTGTGGGAGCTGTATCAATGTTCTTCATTCGACGCCCGGTAAGAGAAGACTTTGATGGGGAATGGGAACTCAGGGGAAGGAGAGAGAATTGGGAGATAAGGGTGGCCAGCTATAGAAAAGAAATTGACAAGAACGCTGAGGTCTGGCAACTATGGATAAATGTGAGCACATCAGCATTTGATCTGCCCTGACCTAGCCACCCTTTTCATCCAGACCCTTGACATCAATTGGACAGGGATGACCAACCTGCTGGATATTCCAGGACTCAGGTACCAAGGACTTACTGAGCACCTGCTAAGTTCTCCAGCCCTCAGTTGGGAGTTTAAGGGATGCAAAGTACCAGAATATACAGCTCTGTCTTCCTGGAGCCTCTACCCTAATTGGAAATTTCCATATTGTGATTTTACTTTGGGAAGGGCATAGCATGCTTTTTGGGGAGAGTATGGAGTGCTAAGAACTTAGCAGAAGTGAGAAAAGAAAGATGAGCTGGAGATGGCATTGAAGAAGTACGTAGGGAATGAGGGGGGGAAAAGTAGGAAAAAAGGAGTTTCAAGAAGGGGCTTCCTTTTAGTTTTAGGCCTTTGCTGACTGTGGAGTTGGAATTTGGAGGACACTGAACTTTGGCGCCACACTCACCTCCTTTTTTACTCCTCCATTCAGTTCACTCTCTGACACCATGATTATGGACTCCATCGCTGCCTTCCTTGTGCTACCCAATCGATTATTGGTGCCCCTAGTGCCTGACCTCCAAGATGTGGCTCAGTTGCGTTCCCCTCTGCCCAGGGTATGGCCTCTCCCAATTAGGTTATTCTCCCAGGAATCCAGGGCTGAACCTTGAGTTTCTCACCATCTTAATCCTACTCCCACCCCCCAGGGTATTGTTCGCATCCACCTGCTAGCTGCTCGAGGACTGAGCTCCAAAGACAAATATGTTAAAGGCCTGCTTGAAGGCAAATCAGACCCCTATGCACTTGTACGTGTGGGCACTCAGACATTCTGCAGCCGTGTCATCGATGAGGAACTCAACCCCCAGTGGAGGGAGACTTATGAGGTGAAGAGCTGAGGAGGGAGGCTGTGTGAGACAGGGAGGCCCTGGAGGTTGTGAAAAAAGAGCAAGATTAGATGATCCTTATAGCAGCAGCCCATGACATCCTTATCCTTCTGTGTTCTCCAGGTGATGGTACATGAGGTTCCAGGGCAGGAGATAGAGGTGGAGGTGTTTGACAAGGATCCAGACAAAGATGACTTTCTGGGCAGGTGAGACTCAGTCTTAGTTAGGATTGTAAAGTGAAAATGCTCCTAAAATTTCAGAGAGAATTTTAATCCTTCCCAAGCCCTTGGAATCATTTATCATTTTCCCAACAAGCTTCTGCCTTCACTTCTCCTCCCCTCCCTGCAAATATTTCTTAATCACAGGGAGAAAGGAGTCTGGAATCGACTTCTTATTTCTGGTGGGTGAGTAGAGGGCTAATAACATGCTTCTAATTATAACTCTTTCCCTTTCCCCATCTCACTTTCTCTCTCCCCACCAGAATGAAGCTGGATGTTGGAAAAGTATTACAGGCTGGAGTACTGGATGATGTAAGTGAGAGATAAAGGAAGGTGGGTGTGTTCCCACCCACCGGACAGAGAGTAGCTGCTACTCTGGTGGGAAAGTCATTGAGTAGTGGGTCTTTGATCTCCCCCTCACTTTGTTCTACCTCTCTCTATAGTGGTTCCCTTTACAAGGGGGACAAGGCCAAGTTCATTTGAAGCTGGAATGGCTGTCACTCTTGCCAAATGCGGAAAAACTGGAGCAGGTAACCAACATAAGGCACTAGAAGCTGGCAGAGGAGAAATAGGTAACTCAAAGTATAGGGAACTAAGGGTTACCAAGGACTGACTACCACTACTACCACTTCCCAGGTTCTGCAGTGGAATCGGGGCGTCTCCTCTCGACCAGAGCCCCCATCTGCTGCCATCTTAGTGGTTTATCTGGATCGGGCTCAGGATCTACCAGTGAGTTTGGGTTCTGAAGATGAAGGAATGGGGAACCATGGTCACAGTCATCGCATTTTCTCGCCCTCTCTTGCTGAGGATGTCCGTGTCTTGCTGGCTTTCCATAAAGAGAAACTTCAACACAAGGGTCCTAATGAGGGAGGCTAAGCCACTGCAGGGAAAAGATTCTGATGAAACTGTCACCAAAATAAAAATCACTCAAGATGGTGACCCCTGAAATTCTATCCCCTGCAGCTGAAGAAGGGCAACAAGGAACCTAACCCCATGGTACAACTGTCAGTTCAAGATGTGACCCAGGAAAGCAAGGTAGGACTCGCTGTGGGAAGTATTATTTGAGGGGGAAGACTCCCTTTCAGGATGCCGGTTAAGTGAAGAGACATTTTCTAGAGAAATGACAATGACACCGAGGTAAATGCCCTTACTCCCTTTCTCCACCTCCCCAGGCTGTCTATAACACCAGCTGCCCAGTGTGGGAAGAGGCTTTCCGTTTCTTCCTGCAAAACCCTCGAATCCAGGAGCTCGATGTACAGGTGAGAGAATTGCCTAGCCAGTCTCTGACCCCTTGAAGACATATGGCAATAGTTGTATCATTTCTTCTCCCCTCCTTCAATTCCTATTTTCAGTTCCTCTATCTATACTTCCTACCTCTGCCTAGTACCTTCCCACTGTTCTTCGCTTGTATCTCTAGAGTGAATTTTACGGTACATAAATTATTCCTCAACAGAATTGTTAAACAAAAGAAAATACAGTGTACTTGTCAGATACTTTAGCATTATAAAGGTCATTGAAAAAGATAAAACAAGGTAGCTCTGGTGGCCTAGTGACAGGAAGCTGTGCTGTAATCCTGAAGGTGTGTGGTTTGAATCCATCAGATGCTCTGCTAGAGAAGGAGGGACAATCTCCTGTCCCAGTTAGATCTGATTGGCACACAACAAAAAAGAAAAAGCTTGAAACATATTATCTGCCTTCAGGGATCTCACTTGCCAGCTTCACAGACAAGATACATATATACATACATGCATACATATATACATATATAGAAACTATTTTAGAACAATTAATTATTCACTGTTGCTGTTGTTAGTTGCCACTGAGTCCATTCCAACTAATGGTGACCCCAGTGGGTTTTCTTGGTTGTAATCTTTACATAAGCAGATTTCTGGATTTTTGTTTCCTTCCAAGGGGCTACTGAATGTGTTTGAACTACCATTAAACCACAAAGGCTCCTTCCAATATTAACTAAATATTGGTTCCTTCTAATACTAGATAAATATTAATTTATATTTTTGTTCAGTTATTACCTTACTATCTTATTCAACACTATGGTTGAATTGATTCTGACTCATAACAACCCTCTACTGGGTTTCTGAGCCTATAAATCTTTATGGGAGGAGACTGCTCATCGTTCTGCCATGTGGAGACTGCTGGACTTGAACCATCCACCTTTCATTTTACAGCCTAAAACACAATGTACTTTGCCACCAGGGTTCCTTTCCAATATTAATTTTCTCTCTCGCATTGCCTTGGAACCAGAACTAATTCATAGCCGACCCTCCAGTGGCTTTTCAGAGGCCGTAAACTGCACAAGATGACATTGCCCATTTTTCTTCCTCGGGGTTACTAGTGGATTTGAACTGCCAGAGAGGCACCACCCTTTTCCCACTAGGCCTCTAGAGCTCAATACTAACTTGTTCATTTCTATCAAGTTGGAACTGACTCATAGAGACCCTCCAGCAGATTTTCAGATGCTATAAGTCACATGAGGGGGCTTTGGTGGCCTAGTGGCAAGGAGCTGCACTGCAATCCCAAAGGCACACACGATTCAAGGCCACCATCTGTTCCGTGTGAGAAGGATGGGCAATCTCCTCCCATGTGATTACTGCCTCTTGACAAACCCACCAGAGGGTCAGTATGGGTCTGTTCCGACTCTACAGTACACAACAACATAAGTGTCATGAGAAGAGAGTGCCCATTTTTCTCTTGAGCAGCTGGTGAATTTGAATCACCTGTCTTTGGGTTAGCAACACAACTCTACCCATTAGGCCAAAAGAGCTCAGTATTAACTAGTGGGAATAAAATGTTCCTAATATAGCACTATAGAGAAAGGCCCAGACTAGGGTAGAAATTTTGTGTAGAACCATTCTATTGGAGCTGTAGGAGAGCTCTTACTAGAGAGTTTTGGTGAAAAAAGTAGGATTTTAATTAGGCTTGAAGGATAAGTAGGATTTAAATAGGAAGTTGAAGAAAAATAAAGACTTTCCAGGTAGTGTGGATAGCATGAGCCTTGGCACGGTGGATAGAGTGAGCAGTGGTGGAAGGGGCCATGGAATGGGTAGAAGACCAGGAAGAGATGTGCCTGAGTGCAGTGAAGAGCTTATGATTGGCCCAGAGAGAACAGTCAGTTGTGTTATAATTTCTCTAACCTACCTCCCTTTTCCTAATCTCTTCACTGCCTCTCCTGTGCTACTTGTAGGTGAAGGATGACTCCCGGGCCCTGACTTTAGGGGCACTGACTCTGCCTCTGGCTCGTCTGCTGACCACCTCTGAACTCACCCTGGACCAGTGGTTCCAGCTTGGTGGCTCTGGCCCCAACTCCAGGCTCTACATGAAACTGGTTATGAGGGTATGGAGATGGATGGCATGCTGAGGGCTATCAAGAGTAAAGAGTAAATAAATGACTTAGTATATGTGGAAATACCTAGCTGGCATGCCCCAAAACATTTAGTGTTCTGACTAGGAGAGGGAATAGGTAGGGGATGGATGTGTGAAGGGAACCTACCCAAAACAGGGACTGGATTTCCCTGATAGGTCTCCAGTGTGCCCTGGAGCCCCCCTCCATTTTTGCCAGCTGGTGACTAACTGGACTTGATTGAGCAATTATGCCGCTTTCCCAGATCCTTTACTTAGACTCATCAGAAGTGTGTTTCCCCACGGTGCCTGGGACTCCTGGTGCTTGGGACCTGGACGATGAAAGCTCCCAGATGGGCAGCAGTGTGGATGTACCACCTCGACCCTGTCATACCACGCCTGACAGCCACTTTGGGACAGAGGTGAGTCTGGAAAGGATTAGGGTCTGTTTGTCTACTCTCCCTGTAAAGTCCATTCCTGTCAGGGCTGATTCTAATAGATCTCTCTTCCTTTGTTTACCACCTAGTGCTTCCAACTGTTCCTTTTTGCAGAACGTGCTTCGGATCCACGTATTAGAGGCCCAGGACCTGATTCCCAAAGATCGTTTCTTGGGGGGACTGGTGAAGGGCAAGTCAGACCCCTATGTCAAACTAAAGCTGGCAGGACGAAGCTTCCGGAGCCGTGTTATTCGGGAGGATCTCAATCCCCGCTGGAATGAGGTTTTTGAGGTCAGAATGAGTGGTTAAGACTTTCTTTGTCCTGTACTTTTCTTTCCCACAGCTCTGAGAATGGGCAAAATCCCTCTCAGGTTCAGTCAGTGAGTAGGTTGCAGTCATTTGAGGGTGGAAAGGAAGTAATACCCTTTGCATACATTGTTTTCTCCCACTAGGTGATTGTCACATCAATTCCAGGCCAAGAGCTGGATGTTGAGGTCTTTGACAAGGATCTGGACAAGGATGACTTTCTAGGCAGGTAAGAGGTAGAGACTGAGGTGGACAGACAGGTGGGGCCTCTTTGGCCTATAGAGTCTGGCCCAGGGGAAACAGACACTTGGCTCTGACCATCCACCTCTGTCTTAATCCTTCTCTACAGGTGTAAAGTGAGTCTCACTGCAGTCCTGAACAGTGGCTTCCTGGATGAGGTGAGTGTGGGACTGGAGTAGGAACTCCCTCCTGATCTCCCCAAGTCTCATTCTCACAGTCCCTCTGTCCCTCACAGCCCCCAAGACCTAGCCCTGTCTACTTCCACAGTGGCTGACCCTAGAGGATGTTCCATCCGGCCGCCTGCACTTGCGCCTGGAGCGTCTGACCCCTCGTCCCACTGCCACAGAGTTGGAGGAGGTAAGGAAGGAGACTGGAAGCTGGTTAGCGTGGGCTCTTATACCCTTTCTCAAGGCATTGGCCTAGCTCCAGGCTGCACTCCTCAGTGACCCTCCCAGCCCCCTGTGTCCACCCAACAGGTTCTGCAGGTGAACAGTTTGATCCAGACTCAGAAGAGCACAGAACTGGCAGCAGCCCTGCTGTCTGTCTACCTGGAGCGGGCTGAGCATCTGCCGGTGAGATCAGCTCCCCATACCCCAGAACTCCTTGGCACTCCTCCCATCGTCCTTAGCTTGAGGTGCTTCTGATGCATTTGGAATAATAAATGGCCCCTCTCTTTCCCACAGTACCTGTCCCAGGCCATGAAGGTGGTATCAGGTGATAAAGGGAACATGGCCTGCTGGCTATGAATTAGTGACAGGGGAGATCTGCCTTACTAGATGTAAGACTAACACCAGCTTCTCTTTCCAGCTCCGGAAAGGTACTAAGCCCCCCAGCCCTTATGCTACCCTCACTGTTGGAGACACTTCTCATAAAACCAAGGTATTGCCACTGGGCTGAAAATGGGAGGGCTGAGAGGAGCAGAAGGGAGAGTATCAACCACTGATTGTAACCCTTCATCTCTGCCAGACATGTTCCCAAACTTCAGCCCCTGTCTGGGATGAGAGCACCTCTTTTCTCATCAGGAGACCAAACGTGGAGAGCCTAGAGTTGCAGGTACTATAAATTAACTCTGCAAGCATTTAGCAGGTCTGTGCTCTAGGTCAGGCACTGGACTTGGCACAAGGCATTGAGATAAAAGATCGATTCTTACCTTTATGGAGTTGACAATACTTCTAGATGAAACTGCTATGGTAAAAGACACTGTGTGGGGAAATAGCGGGATTCTAACTGACTAAGGGGAATCGGCAAGGGTAATAAGAAAGGCCTTCTTAGATGACTCCGTATTTAAGGATAAACAAACATCAAGAAAAGGACAGGGAAACTTCAGGTTGAATAAAACATGGAGAAGAATGAAGGGGCAAATTTATTGTAGCTCAGAGAGATAAGCTAAAGCAGGATCACAAGAGCTTTTGAGTATTATGCTAAGAATTTTGGACTTTATCCGAAAGACTAAAGAACCATTTGCAATGAAAGGCAACATATCCAGATTTGCATTTTAGGATGATAAGTTAGTCACTGCCATCAAGTCAGAACTGACCCATGGCTGACTCTCCAGTGGGATTTCAGAGACTGTAAATCGCACTGAAGCAGACTGCCCATCTTTCCTCTGCAGAGCAGCTGGTGGATTTGAGCTCCTTGCCTTTGGGTTGGCATTGCAATGCTTTGCCACCAGGCCACTAGAAAAAGTTTGTGCAAAGTAAAGAATGGGCTAGGGACAACATTGGAGAAGTAAAGAGACTCTCTGGGTAACCTATACAAAAATTACAAGAGAAGGGGAGCTCTGGTGGCCTAGTGGCAAGAAACTGCACTGCAATCCCAGAGGCGCACGGTTCAAATCCACCAGAAGCTCTGCCGGGAAAAGGAGGGACAATCTCCTCCTGTACCAGTCAGATCCGATTTGATGGTACACACACACACACACACACACTAATAAAATAATAATTAAAAAAATTACAAGAGTGTAGTGTGATTTGAAAGTTGCTTAATATGGAATGCAAGAAAGGACAAAGAACAGCCTAGAGGACTCTTGGGTTTTTAGTATGGGAGCCAGATTGTAAAAGGTACCACTGCCATATAGAAAATTCATACAGATGGGAGTTTTTACATTTGTCACCACTGCGGGACATCCAGAAGATAGATATAAGACTAATCATGGTGTTCCTTCCTCGTTTGAGCCCCATGAGCATGCAACAGGTAGTAATTGTAGTTCTGGGAGTGAACAAGTCTCTTTGGGCATGTGTATAGTGAAAAGAAGGCAAAGAGAGGACATAGGAGGCACCTCGACTATTAAAGATTGGACAGAGGAAGAAATGCCCCTTCTAGGCAGCTAAAGTGCAGCCAGAGTGGCAGAACACTCACCAGAAAAGAATGGGTGGCAGAAACCAAAAGAAATGTGTTTCAAAAAAGAGGATGTGGTCAAATGTTGGCACGAAGTAAAGTAAAATGACTGAACACTGTTAACTGACTTTGGAAACTAAGAAGTCACTGATTGTTGGAGCAGCTTCAGCAGCATGGCTGGAGTAGAAACTAGATTTCAGTGGGTGTAAGTGTGCTGCTAATGTCTTCAGATGGAGTGGAGAGTCAAGAAATAGCTTTTAAAGTTGCTAAAATATTAAGTAGAGAATTGTGAATTTTATCACATAAATTATGACAAACCAAGAGAATTTTTAACATAATGCAATAATGAGGTAAAAACTTATCACCATCAAGTCAGAACTGACTCATGGCTGACCCTCTCCTGGTTTTCTGAGGCTGTAAAGTGGATCCCAATTCACAGTGATCATATGAGACAGAGTAGATTGTCCTATAGACTTAACCTAGAAATCTTTATGGGAGCAGACTGCCTTATTGCTTTCCTGTGGAGTGGCTGAGTGCATTTGTATTACTGCCAATGCATAACTCACCGCACCACCAGTATTCCAAAAGAAATAGAGAGGAGTTATAAATGAGCCCAGTTCATGTTTCATAGCAAAATAGTAGGTAAATTTTAAAAAGTTGATAAATAAAATGAGATACTAAGAAGAGATAATACTTATAACCATGTCAGAACAAACTCAACAGAGTTTAAAGACAGAGTATGGAAATGAGGGTAGAATGGTCAGGAAACATCTTTTTCATTTCATTCCCCTTTTACTATTCTTTTCTCTACTCTATGCAGGTATTGCTTGTATCATTTGAGAAAGATTAGGAAGTAAAGATAAGTGCAGTCTCAGATTCAGGAAGGTGTGACCAGCAACTGTTACCTTGGCTTCTCTGTCCTATACAAAAGGGAGTCTTTCACTAAAACCTGAGCCCATCTATTTGGACCTCCACACCAGAACTAAACAAGCTGTGGCTGCCTTTGCTTATTGACCATAGGCATGCTGTTCTACAGGTTCGGGATGAAGGGGCAGGGACCCTGGGCTCCTTCTCCCTGCCCCTCTCTGAGCTCCTCACGGCTGACTGCCTCTGTCTGGATTGCTGGTTTCCTCTCAACAACAACCAGGGACAGGTGCTCCTGAGAGCACAGCTTGGGGTGAGTGCCTGGAAGTGGTGGGCAGCAGCAGGAGGGCGTTCCTGGAAGGTCAGAAAGAAGGCAGTGGTCTTATAGAATTTTGCCCACCTCACTGCTCTCTCACCCACCCAGATCCTGGTGTCCCAGCACTCGGGAGTGGAGGCTCATAGCCACAGTTACAGTCATAGCTCCTCATCCCTGAATGAAGAGCCAGAGTTATGGGGGGGACTCCCTCATGTCACCTCCTCAGCCCCAGAGCTCCGGCAGCGCCTAACACATGGTGATAGGTATGTGACTAAAGCAGAAAGATAAGATACAGTCAGAACTAAGAAGTATGAGTTACAGCTCCCCTCGGCTCTACCTTCTTCCAGATCTCTCTCCATCTCTCCACAGTCCCCTGGAGACCCCCACCGGGCCTCTGGGCCAGGTAAAACTGACTGTGTGGTACTATGGCGAGGGACGGAAGCTGGTTAGCATCGTCCACAGCTGCCGGTGAGATCCTGTCCTTTCTGTCCTGTAGGTGTCCTTCATCCCTTCCCTTGGATTCTCGTACTCATTTTCCCTCTGTTGCAGGGCCCTTCGACAAAATGGGCGGGACCCACCTGATCCCTATGTGTCTCTGCTGCTACTGCCAGACAAGAACCGAGGCACCAAGAGGAAGACCTCACAGAAGAAGAGAACCCTCAATCCAGAATTCAATGAACGGTCAGTGGGCACTAAATGGAGAGATGACAAAGACTTGGGAAGACTTTTTGCCCCTAATACCCAGCATCTTCCCAGGTTTGAATGGGAGCTGCCCCTGGATGAGGCCCTTAGGAGGAAGCTGAACATTTCTGTGAAGTCTAGTTCCTCCTTCATGTCAAGAGAGCGTGAGCTTCTGGGAAAGGTAAAGGGCTAGGGCAGGGCAAAGCTGCCGGTGCCAAGGTCATAATGTCTGTTGGGGAATAAGTGTCCCTAGTTGATATTCTGGAGGGACCAGGTGCATGTGATGACAGGACATGTTCTTTGGAGATACCAAAGTAACATCTTGCCCCTACCACCATCTTCCAATACAGGTGCAGTTAAACCTGGCAGAGATAGACCTTTCCCAGGATGCAGCCCAATGGTGAGTGTCTGGACAAGTACAAAAGGTTTAGCTCTTTAGAGTGGGAGAAATCTTAGTCACAGAAAGGGAAAGATGCACTCCGAAGGAAAAACCATGGATTCTGTGAAGTACAGGAGTCCTTGGATAGTGTCTCACTTATAAGAGGGTATAAGGCCCATGTTTCTCCCTGATCTTTCTCTTCTTCTTTTCACAGGTATGATCTCATAGATGACAAGGACAGGGGCAGCTCTTAGGAGCTGGCATTAATAGCCTGACTCTGCCCTGCCTCTTTGCCTTGCCTCTTGCTGCATCATTGCCTCAATGTGATGAGCCTCGGGCCTGAGGGCAGAGCCTGTGCCCCTCTTACCTCCTCGCCCATACGAGGGCCTCTGCCTGACCAAAGAGAAGGACCATGTATTACCCTTTACTGCACGGCCTTTATCCTTGTGGTTTCTTGGGGCAGGGATCTGAGCTGGCTATTTCCTGCTTGGCCTGCACATTGTGCTCCTCCCCGCCCAACTCCCCAGGGTCTTCTGTTCTTGTGCCTGGCCACTGGCAGCACTAGCAGTGGCATCAGCTTATGCCAAATACAGCTTTTGGAAAGATCTCTGTATTTTTAACTAGATGATCACCTTCTTCCCTACTGTGAGAAGGTGAGTAGGGTGAACAAGAGTGGCAAAGTGGGCAGGCCATGCACCTCCTAGACTATAAGGCATGTGTGAATAGAAAACAATCCAGACCCCAGATCAAGTGCTGTCTCCACTCTCTGTAGGCCTTTTCTGAAAATCATGGCTGGGAGCAGGCTCTTGGTTTACTTTGAGTATTAGGAATACCTGGATTTTGCCCATCCTTCCAAACAGCAGTGTCTCCGTCTGGGAGCTTCTAGCTGGTGAAGTGCAGAGGGCCTTGGAAGACTTGAGACAGTAGGGCCAATTTTTTTGTTCAAGTGCCTAGGCTGTTAACTTACTGACTAGAATAGATATGATCTTCTTCATTTTGCATCAACTCTACCAATCCATTGTATTTTATATTAAACAGTATATTCAAACCAGCTGTCGCTCTTGTACTTAAGAACTGGGAGTCTAACTTACCCATCAGATGTTTAAGCTCATTTAAAGTCAAAAGCCTTTATTCAACGCAGTAGTAATGAATCATGTCAGTTAATTAGGACCAGATCCCACTGAAGTACATCTACCAAGCATGTAGGTTCAACGGAGGACGATTGAGAGACCTGAGTGAAACAGCTGCTGAATTCTGTTAACTATCCAACTTTTCTGGTGACCATATGGTCTCATGGGCTTTCTAGGGAAAAATTCCTAGACTTGACAAAGGTGGAATCTCAGTGTCATCAGGACCTGCTCAGCCAAGTCAAAGGCTCCAGGCCACTCAATAGGTAGCTCAATGAAAACATTCTGATATGCTGATATTGAAGTCTATTCTTTTCAAAACCCTGAAATGTGGAGAGCTCTGCTGGTCAGTGGCAAGAAGCTGCACTGCAATCCCCGAGGTGCACAGTTTGAATCCACCAGATGCTCTGCTGGAGAAGGAGGGACAATCTCCTCCTGTACCAGTCAGATCCAATATGACGGTACACACACACACAAAATAATAATTTAAAAAAAAAACCCACAACCCTGAAATGCAAGCTATAGAAGCTGTGCCCCATCATTTTTATCAAATGGAGAGTGTTAACTGAAAATAAGTCACTAGAATTGGAAGTCAGAGGTTCATTTCATAACTATGTATGTTGTTTGCATTATTAGCAGGCTGCCCAATGCTTTTGCAGCGCATAAACACCCTAGAGTATCATCTTCTCATTTTGTTTGAGTCACAATACTGTTGCTACCAAACCCAACCCACTGTCATTAAATTGATTCTGACTCAGTGATCCTGTAAGACAAGGCTGTAAATCTTTAACAGAATCAGACTTCCTCATCTTCTTCCTGAAGAGTAGCTGGTGTTTTGAACCAACAACTTTTTGGTTAGCAGCCAAATTCTTAAACCTCTGTGCCACCAAGGCTCTTCTTTGCTTTTGTGTGGTTACAAGAACCATATAAAAATTATTCACTGCACTGCAAGATGGTATGAATTTTCTATGATAAGCACTACATAAAACTCTTTTCTATACTTTTCCCAAACCTAGGTGTTATAATTAAACATTCTTGCTAGCTAAGGGATAAAACTTCCTGATTTGTTAGATTTCCTTGCTTGCTTTCTTAGTGTCAAGAGTACCTGCCAGCTCACATTTCTTACTGTTCTGTAAGTTTCTCTTCATCAGCAATCCCACCACCTGCCTATTTTCTAAACTTCGGCTGGAATTCAAATAAGATTTCTGAAGCAGTTAGCTAGGTTGATACCTTCTGAAAAGGAAAGGACTGCTCTTAAGAATTAAAAACCAAGTAACAAGTAGGATGATCAGCAAGTTATTGTTATGTGCCATGGAGTCGCCTGTGACTCTGCAGAAGCTCTGAAGCCTGCCCTGTCCTGAGCCAGTCTCACTGATTCCAACACATCTACCCCCATTATCCCAGTTACTGTATCAATCCATCTCATCTGCAGTCTTCCTCCCCTGCACTGTCCTCCACCATTCTGAGCATGATGTCCTTCCCAAGGACTGGTCCCTTCTGGCCACATGCCAAAAGTACGTGAGATAGAGCTTTAAAATCCTAATCTCCAAGGAGAAACTTCATTTTACCCCCTCCAAGACAGACTTACTTGTTTTCTTGGCAGTCCATGGACTAATATAAGACAGGGACTAATAAAAGTCCATGGTCAAATGTAAGACAAAAAATAAAGAGCCTGTAACAGCAGCCAGTGCTTTCTGTTCAGCCTGAACTTCCTTTATACCACTGGTTCTTAATAATAAACCACTTCCTGAAATGCTTCCATGTTGACGAAGTCTTTTTGGTCCAGTGATTTCTGTGTATTTCTTCCATCTTATTTTGAAGCGTTCTGAGCCATCCAATATTATGTCCAAAGAATCCCTAGCTATTAATACAATGTGAGGTTTGAATCCTTAATGCTTTCAATTTTAGAAATACCAACTGTGTTCTTTCTTCCTTTTTGGTTTTCTGACTCCAGGTTTTTGCAAATGTTATAATAATTTGCTTTGACAAATTGCACTGGGAAAGTCTGCAGTTAGAGATCTCTCCAAAGTACTGAAAAGCAATGATGTCAATCTGGAGACTAAGGTGCACCTGATCCAGGCCATGTTGTTATTGTTGTTGTTAAGTGCCGTGGATTCATAGGCAACTCATAGCAACCCTACGAAGGAAAGTCCTTGACACTTGCGTGACTTTCATCCTTTCTCCAGGTTCATAGGGTTTCCCAAGGCAAGCTATTTATGGGAGTGGATGCCACTCCTGCTTCCAAGCTTGTTTTAACCAAGGAGCGCCGCCAAACACTGTCCTCCATGGGTAACCATTATCGCGTTTGACCTAGAAGAATTTTTCATCAAAAATAATTAAAGACAGGCCCCAGGACTCTACAGGATTTGAAGCTAGCACCTGGAGCAAGCTCCACAGGCTCCGCCCTTATTTCCCCTTATTTTAAGGCTCTGGGCTGCCCACCCACTTTTGAAGGGCAAAAAAAGAGCAGTAACACACAGCAAAAAGGACCCCAGAAACTTCCCTTGCCTTGACTGCCACCAGGTCGAGCCACCATCGAGATGCCAGCCATCCCGCCAGTCAGCCAGCCGACTTCCAGAGTGCAGGGAGACTGATCCAGGCCATAGTCTTTCCAATTACTTGCTATGCGTCAAAGCTGGAAAATGACAAGGGATGATAGAACTGATGCCTTTGGGCTGTGGTGCTGGAGAAGAGCACTGAATATACCATAGACTGCCAAGAGAACAAACAGGTTCATCCTAGAGAGGGTGAAACCAGCCTGCAAGGATTCTGAAGCTTCGTGTAACATACTTTGGTCATGTTGCAAGGAGGGATCAGTCCTTGGAGAGTGACATCATGCTTGGAAGAACAGAGAGACAGTGCAAGAGAGGAAGGCCCTCAAGATAGATTGATTCAGTGACTGTGGTAATGAGGGTAGGTGTGTCAGAAACAGCTATAGAGCAGGTTTCAGTGCAATTGGACATAGGGTTGCTCTGAGTTGCAAGCAACATGTTGGACTGCGCATTGAAGTCTTCTGTTCAGCTCTTTTAGTTCATCATTTCTTCCTTTGGTTTTAGCTTTCCTTCGTTCTATAGTAACCTTCTGTCTCTTCTGAAAGTTCCTTTCAGTGTTATTCTTGTACTTTTAAATGAACTTTTGCTTTCTTCACATGATTGCCTTGATGGCATTGCAGAGTTTGCCTAATCTGATCAGTTCAGTGCTTTATATGTATTCTTATATGTATTCTTTTTTTTTAAGTAGTTTTCCATTCATAGAAATTTTTTTTATAACATTAGTTACCATTGTTGTTGCTATTGTGTATCATTGAGATGGATCCCACCCATAACTGACCCTCTGGCAGGTTTTCAGAGGCAGTTAATCACATAGGAGGGGCAGTTGGTGGATTCAAACTGCATGCCTTCAGCATTGCAGCACAGCTTCTTGCCACTAGGCCACAAGAGCTCTAATTTTTATTTTTATTTTTTTTTAAACCACTTTATCTTATACTGGTTTACTTACAAAGTTCGTATACATTGTTTTTCATACAGGATCTTTACCATTTCCTTTACCCACACCTCCCTCTATCCATCAAATTGTGTGACACTATGATTACTCCCCTGCCCACCCTCATCCATTGGATCCTCATACATGTTTTATTAGTTATCTATTTCTAGAATAATAGTCTTATACAATATTTGTCCTTCAGGGACTGAGTTAGTTCACTTAGCATAATGCTTCCCAGTCCCATCCAAGATAGGTAGTGATTTTCAAAGCCATTGCTCCTGCATGCTGCTGAGTATTCCACCATGTGCATGTACTATAATTTCTCAATTCCTTTGATTATGTTTGGACATTTGGGACATTTCCATGTTCTTGTGATGGTGAATGCTGTTGCTATTAACACTGGTGTACAAATCTCCATTTGTGCCTCAGTTCTCATTTTCTCAGGGTATAGTCCAAGCAGTGGAATAGCTGGGTCATATGGAATATCTAAGTGCAGCTTTCTGAGGAAACGCCAAACTACCTTCCAGAGTTGTTGTACCATTTTACAATACTATCCAAATTTATTCTTCAGATGGTGTAAAAGAAGCAAATGCAATGTGGGGATGACCAAGTCTGACAAAATTCTACCCAGTTCATAAACAGGAACTATCCCCATCAATAATATCCATAGTATTATACAAACAGCTACATCATCAGATATGCCAGTCCACATGCTCCTGTACCTATTTGTAGTAATCATTGGGTTCAATGTTCATTGCAACTTGACTCATAGACTTTACTCAAAGTTGTGGAGTTTAATATCACCCAATGCAAGTTCTGGTTTAGTCTAGTAGTCTCAAGCCACACTAACAAAGCATAATTCCTCAATTAGTGAAAAGTAAGGTTCAGTTCAGCAGCACAAATGCAAGAAGTCTCTGGTTTTCTCAATCATCCAGCAAA